CCAGGGTGGCCGTGGCCGCCGAATTTGGGGGGGGGGGGCGAAGCCTGGGGGGTGGCAGGCGAAATTTCGGTGAAAAAAGGTGAAAATACTGAGTGGAAATGAAAAAAAGTTGGGTTGAAATGCATTAAAGTAGGGCAAAGTGGGCGTGGTTTAAGGATTGTGGGCGTGGCTTTAGAGTTGTGGGTGTGGCTTACTGATTTGTGGGCGTGGCCTAGAATCTGGAGCATGTAGGGCAAAATTTGGGTGAAAAAAAGTTTAAAAATAGCGTTAAAATGCCTAAAAATGAGGTTTGGTGGGTGTGGCTTAGGGGCTATGGGCGTGGCTTAAGGGCTGTGGGCGTGGTCACACAATTTGGGGAGATTGGGGCAGAGCTTGGGGGGTGGGACGCGGAATTTGGGTGAAAAAAAGCTTAAAAAGATGCAAAAAATTTGGGTTAAAATGCATTAAAGTAGGGCAAAGTGGGCGTGGTTTAAGGATTGTGGGCGTGGCTTTAGAGTTGTGGGTGTGGCTTATTGATTTGTGGGCGTGGCCTAAAAACAGAGGCACGTGGGGCAAAATTTGAGTGAAAAAACGGTTAAAAATAGGGTTAAAGTGCCTAAAAATGAGATTTGGTGGGCGTGGCTCAAGGCTTGTGGGTGTGGCTTAAGTTTTGTGGGCGTGGCTTAAGGGCTGTGGGCGTGGTCACACAATTTGGGGAGATTGGGGCAGAGCCTGGGGGGTGGGAGGTGAAATTTGGGTGAAAAAAGCTTAAAAATATGCAAAAAATTTGGGTTACAATGCGTTAAAGTATGGCAAAATGGGCGTGGTTTAAGGATTGTGGGCGTGGCTTTAGAGTTGTGGGCGTGGCTTGTAACTTTATGGGCGTGGCCTAAATTATTGAGGCAAAATTTGGGTGAAAAAGTGAAAAATCTGTTTTTAAATGCACAAAAATGATGTTAAAAGGCAAAAAAATTACAATTAAGTGGGCGTGGTTTAAGGTTTGTGGGCGTGGTTTAAGGTTTGTGGGCGTGGCTTGTTGGCTTGTAGGTGTGCCCCGAAAATTTGGAACACACGTGGCAAAATTTGGGTGAAAAAAGCTGAAAAGAAGGGGTTAAAATGCATTAAAAAATCGGATTTTGTGGGCGTGGTTTAAGGGTTGTGGGCGTGGCTTTAGAGTTGTCGACATGGCTTATTAATTTGTGGGCGTGGCCTAAAAACTGGGGTACATAGGGCAAAATTTGGGTAAAAAAAAAGGTAAAAAATAGCGTTAAAATGCCTAAAAATGAGATTTGGTGGGTGTGGCTTAAGGGCTGTGGGCGTGGCTTAAGGGATGTGGGTGTGGTCACACAATTTGGGGAGATTGGGGCAGAGCTTGGGGGGTGGGACGCGGAATTTGGGTGAAAAAAAGCTTAAAAAGATGCAAAAAATTTGGGTTAAAATGCATTAAAGTAGGGCAAAGTGGGCGTGGTTTAAGGATTGTGGGCGTGGTTTAGAGCTGTGGGCGTGGCTCGTTAATTTATGGGCGTGGCCTAAAACCAGAGGCACGTGGGGCAAAATTTGAGTGAAAAAACGGTTAAAAATAGGGTTAAAGTGCCTAAAAATGAGATTTGGTGGGCGTGGCTCAAGGCTTGTGGGTGTGGCTTAAGTTTTGTGGGCGTGGCTTACGGGCTGTGGGCGTGGTCACACAATTTGGGGAGATTGGGGCAGAGCTTGGGGGGTGGGAGGCGAAATTTGGGTGAAAAAAGCTTAAAAAGGTGCAAAAAATTTGGGTTAAAATGCATTAAAATAGGGCAAAGTGGGCGTGGTTTAAGGATTGTGGGCGTGGCTTTAGAGTTGTGGGTGTGGCTTGTAACTTTATGGGCGTGGCCTAAAAACTGGGGCAAAATTTGGGTGAAAACGTGAAAAATCGGTTTTTAAACGCACAAAAATGATGTTAAAAGGCAAAAAAATTACAATTAAGTGGGCGTGGTTTAAGGTTTGTGGGCGTGGTTTAAGGTTTGTGGGCGTGGCTTGTAGGTGTGCCCTGAAAATTTGGAACACACGTGGCAAAATGGGCGTGGCTTCAAGATTTAAGGGGTAGGAGATGCAATTTGGGTGAAGAATGGATAAATGCCTAAAAATGACCAAAAAGGGGTGTGGCTTAGTGGTTGTGGGCGTGGCTTAAGGAGCATGGCATCCCATATATGGGCATAGAGTGGGTGTGGTTTATTCTTAAAGGGGCCTCACCCCATTTTAATTTTTGCCTTGTTTTTATTTTATTTTTTGGGTGGATTTTGTGGGTGTGGCTTGCCTGAAGTGGGCGTGGCCTTTCTGATGTGGGCGTGGCCTAAATTTGAGTATGAGGAGCTGAAAATTTGGGGAAAAAAAATCAAAAATTTGGAAATTCTAAAGGAAAAAAAAGGCC